CTTCTTCATAGGGACTACCCTCAAGAGGTTAAAGATTTGCCACCAAACAAACATGTTCTAATTTTTCCTTCTTTTTTTCTTTCTTCCTTTCTGAGAGAGTTTTTCCTATTTCTACATTCTTTTCTTTTTTGAGATGGAGTTTCACTCTGTCACCCAGGTTCGAGGGCAATGGCTTGATCTCGGTTCACTGTAATCTCCCCATTCTGAGTTCAAGCAATTCTCCTATCTCAGTTTCCCGAGTAGCTGAGATTACAGGCACCCACCACCACGCCTGGCTAATTTTTATATATTTAGTAGAGACAGGGTTTCACCATGTTGACCAGGCTGGTCTTGAACTCTGGACTTCAGGTGATCCACCCACCTTGGCATCCCAAAGAGCTGGGATTACAGGGATAAGCCACAGCACCCGGCCCGTTTCTGTATTCTTCTAAACACTTTATTGATTCTTATACAGCAACAGGGCCCTCACACAGTAGTATATAAAAATCACAGGGGCTGGGCGCGGTGGCTCAAGCCTGTAATCCCAGCACTTTGGGAGGCCGAGGCGGGTGGATCACGCGGTCGAGAGTTCGAGACCATCCTGGTCGACACGGTGAAACCCCATCTCTACTAAAAATACAAAAAATTAGCTGGGCATGGTGGTGTGTGCCTGTAATCCCAGCTACTCAGGAGGCTGAGGCAGGAGAATTGCCTGAACCCAGGAGGCGGAGGTAGCAGTGAGCCGAGATCGCACCATTGCACTCCAGCCTGGGTAAGGAGAGCGAAACTCCGTCTCAAAAAAAAAAAAAAAAAAAAAAAAAAAAAAATCACAGGGGTGAGAGTAAAACCTTTGTTTTTAATCAAAGAGGGAATGGGTTAAAAAAAAATGTTGGCCTGGCGCAGTGGCTCATGCCTATAATCCCAGCACTTTGGAGGCCAAGGCAGGTGGATCATGAGATCAAGAGATTGAGACCATCCTGGCCAATATGATGAAATTCCATCTCTACTAAAAATACAAAACTTAGCCAGGCATGGTGGTAGGTGCCTGTAATCCAGCTACTAGGGAGGCTGAGGCAGAAGAATCAATTGAACCTGGCTCACTGACCACAATCTCTGCCTTCCGGTTACAAGCACCTGTAGTCCCAGCTACTCAAGAGGCTGAGATAGGAGAATCCCTTGAACCTAGGAGGCAGAGGCTGCAGTGAGTAGAGATCATGCCATTGCACTCCAGCCTGGGCAACAGAGCAAGACTCTGTCTCAAAAAAACAAAAAAAGAACTATCTGTTAAAGAAAATGGATTCAATGAGGTTCCTACCCCCTTTAAAGTGCAGATGATTAAGCCAGTTGCTTCATAAACGCTTTTTTTTTTTGAAGACAAGGTCTTACTCTGTCACGCAGGCTGGAGTGCAGTGGTGCGATAATGGCTCACTGTGCCTGGAACTTCTGGGCTCAATCTGTCCTCCTACCTCATGCTACAAGTTCCTGGGACTATAGGAGGTATAGGCACATGCAACCACATCCAACTAAATTTTTTTTTCAGGGGAGACACAGGGATCTTGCTTTGTTGCTCAGCCTATTAATTCTTCCCCCTGGCCACTCTGTCTATTAATTCTTTTTTTGTTTCCTGAGCCAAGGTCTCGCTCTGTCCCCCAGGCTGGAGTGCAGCTGTGCGATCACAGCTCACTGCAACCTCCGCCTCCTGGGTTCAAGCAATTCTCCTGCCGCAGCCTCCCAAGTAGCTGGGACTGCAGGTGTGTGCCAGCATGCCCAGCTAGTTTTTGTGTTTTCAGTAGAGACGGGGTTTCACCATGTTGGCCAGGATGGTCTCGATCTCTTGACCTCGCGATCCACCCACCTCAGCCTCCCAAAGTGCTGGGATTACAGGCGTGAGCCACCGCGCCCAGCCATGTTTTTTTTTAAGATGGAGTCTCACTTTGTTGCTCAGGCTAGAGTGCATCGGTGTGATCTCAGTTCACTGCAACCTCCACCTCCTGGGTTCAAGTAATTCTCCTGTATCAGCCTCCCAAGTAGCTGGGACTACAGGTGCATACCACCACGTCCAGCTAATTTTTGTATTTTTAGTAGAGACAGGGTTTCACCATATTGGTCAGGCTGGTCTCAAACTCCTGACCTAAGGTGATCCACCCACCTTGGCCTCCCAAAGCACTGGGATTATAGGCGTTGAGAAACCGCACCCGGCCAGAATCTGCATCTTATAGTTTACTACTTAAATACATGCAAACACATGCAATGTATAGTTTTCTACCAACCCTGTGAGCTGATAGACAGCAGCGACCACATCTACTTCTAGCAAGGCGTTACACATAGTGGACAGATGGATTCATTAATTCATTTAAAAATATTCATTGTCGGGCCGGGCGCGGTGGCTCACGCCTGTAATCCCAGCACTTTGGGAGGCTGAGGCGGGTGGATCACAAGGTCAAGAGATTCAGACCATCCTGGTCAACATGGTGAAACCCCGTCTCTACTAAAAATACAAAAAATTAGCTGGGCATGGTGGCGCATGCCTGTAACCCAGCTACTCAGGAGGCTGAGGCAGGAGAATTGCCTGAACCCAGGAGGCGGAGGTTGCGGTGAGCTGAGATCGCGCCATTGTACTCCAGCCTGGGTAACAAGAGTGAAACTCTGTCTCAAAAAAAAAAAAAAAAAAATTCATTGTCAACAAACAAAATGTTCAACCTCTTCTAATTATCAGGGACATAGGCTGGATCTGCTCTCATCCTCCTTTTTTTCCCTCCCTTCCTCATATGACAGCCTCACACCTGACCGTTTCAGGCTCCCTCCCTTGGCTCCCTGCATCCCCATCATGATCTCTGCAATGGGCCATACAATTGTATGCACCATTCCAGGTACTGTGGCTTTTTTCTCATTTCTTCTCAATAAAGTCATTTATTATTAGTATTTTTTGAGACACAGTCTCGCTCTATCGCCCAGTCTGGAATGCAGTGGCGCAATCTCACCTCACTGCAACCTCCAGTCTCCTGGGTTCAAGCGATTCTTCTGCCTCAGCCTCCTGAGTAGCTGGGATTACAGGCACACACTACTATGCCCAGCTAATTTTTGTATTTTTAGTAGGCTGGGATTTCACTATGTTGGTCAGGCTGGTCTCGAACTCCTGACCTCGTGATCTGCCTGCAATAGCCTACCAAAGTGCTGGGATTACAGGCATGAGCCACCGCACCTAGCCAAGTCATTTATTATTTTTTAACCATAGAAGCAAACTGAATAAATGTCTTTTTTTTTTTTTTTTGAGACGGAGTTTCGCTCTTGTTACCCAGGCTGGAGTGCAATGGCGCGATCTCGGCTCACCGCAACCTCCGCCTCCTGGGTTCAGGCAATTCTCCTGCCTCAGCCTCCTGAGTAGCTGGGATTACAGGCACGAGCCACCATGCCCAGCTAATTTTTTGTATTTTTAGTAGAGACGGGGTTTCACCATGTCGACCAGGATGGTCTCGAACTCTCGACCTCATGATCCACCCGCCTCGGCCTCCCAAAGTGCTGGGATTACAGGCTTGAGCCACCGCGCCCGGCCAAATAAATGTCTTTATAGAATATTCTAAGCCAGCTGTGTTGGCTCACACCTGTAATCCCAGCAGTTTAGAAGGCCCAGGTGGGAGGACCACCTGAATCCAGGAGTTTGAGACCAGCCTGGGCAACACAGTAAGACCCTATCTTTTTTTTTTTTTTTTGAGATGGAGTTTTGCTCTGTTGCCCAAGATGGAGTGTAGTGGAGCAATCTCAGCTCACTGCAACCTCCACCTCCTGGGTTCAAGCAATTCTCGTGTCTCAGCCTCCCAAGTAGCTGTGACAATAGGTGTGCGCCACCACACCTGGCTAATTTTTATATTTTTAGTAGAGACAGGGTTTGACCCTGTTGGCCAGGCTGGTCTCGAACTCCTGACCTTGGGTGATCCACCTGCCTCCTCAGCCTCCCAAAATGCTGGGATTACAGGCATGAGCCATCACCCCTGGCTATAATCCTAACACTCTGGGAGGCTGAGTCGGGAGGGCCACTTGAGCCCATTGGTTTAAGATCAGCCCAGGCAACATAGCAAGACCTTGTCTCTGCTTTAAAAAAAAAAAAAAAAAAGAAAAGAAAATTAGCTGGGCATGGTGGCACATACCTGTAGTCCCAGCTAATTGGGAGGATTGATTGAGCCTGGGAGGTTAAGGCTCATGCAGTGAGCCATGATCCCATCACTGTATTTCAGGCTGGGCAACGAAGTCCAGCCAAGGGCAAGACCCTGTCTCAAAAAGTAAAATAAAATACAACAAGTTTGTACCTGAGTCAAGGCACCAAAAATAAAATAAAATAAAACAAAACAGAACCCCAGACTCTATACTCCTCCCTTCAGAGGTGTGACATTCCATTGTTAGATCAGTTTCCTCCCAAGTATCACTTTTGAAAAATAACTTCATGCCAGGAATAGTGCCTCACACCTGTAATCCCAGCACTTTGGGAGGCCAAGGTGGGCAGATCACCGGAGGTCAGAAGTTTGAGACCTGCCTGACCAACATGGTGAAACCCTGCCTTTACTAAAAATACAAAAATTAGCCAGCATGGTGGCAGGCACCTGTAATCCCAGCTACTCAGGAGGCTGAGGTGGGAGAATCACAGGAGGCAGAGCTTGCAGTGAGCCGAGATCATGCCACTGTACTCCAGCCTGAGCAACAGAGTGAGACTCCCTCTCACAAAAAAAAAATAATAACTTCAAATTATTTTTAAATTCTTAGCAAGTTTCACCACTGACAACTTCTAATTACATTGCTGACTGACAACTCAAAACACTTCAGTAATCAGAAAATCAGAAAAAATGTTGATCTCCCAAGGTTTTTTTTTTTTTGAGATGGAGTTTCGCTCTTGTTACCCAGGCTGGAGTGCAATGGCGCGATCTCGGCTCACCACAACCTCTGCCTCCTGGGTTCAGGCAATTCTCCTGCCTCAGCCTCCTGAGTAGCTGGGATTACAGGCAAGCGCTACCATGCCCAGCTGATTTTTTGTATTTTTAGTAGAGACGGGGTTTCACCATGTTGACCAGGATGGTCTCGATCTCTTGACCTCGTGATCCACCTGCCTTGGCCTCCCAAAGTGCTGGGATTACAGGCGTGAGCCACCGCGCCCGGCCCCAAGGTCTTTTTTAAGTGTTCACGGATCCTATCCTTTATCAGAGCCTCCTCTAGCTTGCCTAGTATAGACAGCCCAGTTCCCATGTGCATTTCTCAGGTTTCTCAGGTTTGTTGAAGTCACACTGGCATCTGGCCAGTCCTCTGGCACAGTACCCTTTGTACAGATTGCACGTATTTATCAATAGTTTCATCATTTTACATAAATGCTTTCAAAATTCTTGGTGGATGCCATCTTATTCCAATGTAATTGTTGATTTGTTCATCTAAGTCTAAAACATTGCTCACTTCATGTAGCAGATATGACCTACCTGAAAGAGATCATACCTCACCTGATACAGACAGTCCTCAATTTACTATAGGGTTACATCCTGATAAACCCATCTAAGTTGAAACTATCATAACCCAAAAATGCATATATAATACACCTAACCTAAAGAGCATCATAGCTTACTTAGCCTAGCCTACCTTAAACATGCTCAGAACACTTATGTTAGCCTAACTATAGTTGGGTAAAATTATCTAACACAAGGCCTATTTTACAATAAAATAGTGAACATCTCATGTGATTTATTGAGTACTGTACTGAAAGTGAAAAACAGGCCGGGCACAGTGACTCATGGTGTAATCCCAGCACTTTGGGAGGCTGAGGCAGATGAATCATGAGGTCAAGAGTTTGAGACCATCTTGGCCAACATGGAAACCCTGTGTCTACTAAAAATATAATTAGCTGGGCATGGTGGTGTGCACCTGTAGTCCCAGCTACTTCGGAGTCTGAGGCAGGAGAATTGCTCGAACTCAGGCAGAGGTTGCAGTGAGCTGAGATCACGCAACTGCACTCCAGCCTGGCAACAGAGCAAGACTCTGTCTCAGAAAAAAACAACAACAAAAAAAACCAGAATGGTAGTATAGGTACCTAAAGCATAGTATCTACTGAATGTGTGTCATTTTTGCACCACTGTAAAGCTGAAAATTGTTAAGTTGAATTATCATAAGTCAGGGGCTGTCTGTTGAGAAAGAACATTTCTAACATCAGACACAGAAAGCTCAATCAATACACACAATTTTAATTTATCATCAACCCTCTTTTCCTTCAGAACCTTCCTCCTAGTCTCTTACTCCTCACTTCCTGCTTTCCAGGCCTTTCTCAAGTTTTCCTATTTTGAGTTATCAAAGCTCTAATGAAACCTTTTCTAGTTCCTGTACTCACCCGATCACGACCACCCTTAATCAGCGAGACATTGGCAACCGGGAAGGAGCAGAGTGAGGTGCTGGAGGAGTCACAGTCAGTCCTAAATGAGAATGGAGGAAGATACTCTTCTAAGTTAGTCTTACTAGTCTGTCCGTACACCTTCTTGGCCTCACAGAGCTCCCTCCTACCCTCCTCCCTTCTCTCAGAACAGGCACCCTTCTGTTACAAAGATGGAGAACAAATGTGGCCAGAAGATTCAAGTATCAGAATGATTATGTCAGTCACTTCCTGCTATTTCAATGTTATGTCCTCTCATTAGAGCAGATGTTCTTAGATGGAAATCTACAGATACTTAGCTAAGTAGTTTCACACTTTAGTGTTTCTAAAGACTTATTTAAGGAACTTGAAGAAAATGTAAATTCCAGGGCCAGGCATGGTGGCTCATGCCTGTAATCCCAGCACTTTGGGAGGCTGAGGCGGGCGGATCACCTGAGGTCGGGAGTTCAAGACCAGCCTGGCCAACATGGAGAAACTCCATCTCTACGAAAAATACAAAATTAGCCAGGCATGGTGGCACATGCCTGCAATCCCAGCTACTCAGGAGGCGGAGTTTGCAGTGAGCTGAGATCATGCCATTGTACTCCAGCCTGGGCAACAAGAGTGAAACTCCAACTCAAAACAAACAAAAAATGTAAATTCCGGCTAGGTGTGGTGGCTCACACCTGTAATCCCAGCACTTTGGGAGGCCGAGACGGGTGGATCATGAGACCAGGAGTTCAAGACTGGCCTGACCAATATGGTGAAACTCCATCTCTACTAAAAATACTTAGCTGGGTGTGGTGGCATGTGCCTGTAGTCCCAGCTACCCAGGAGGCTGAGGTAGGAGAATCGCTGGAACCCGGGAGGCGGAGGCTGCTGTGAGCCAAGATTACACTATTGCACTCCAGCCACCTGGGTAACAGAGCAAGACTCCATCTCAAAAAAAAAAAAAAGGTAAATTCCAGGGTCCCACCCCAAGAGATTCTGATTTGGTAGCTCTGGTCTGGGTCCTAATTTGAGAAAAACGCCTCCAATAGTATCCATAGATGGTCATTAAGAGGCTCATAAACTCCTTCAATTGTAGGCAAATTTGCATGTAGGGGTTTGGGTGCAACATATGCCTGGGCATGTACATATGTTTTTATGGCAGGAAGGGCTGAAAGATCCATCGCCTAAGAGTTTAAGAAGCTCTACTTTAGAAACTATAGCTCTGGACCAGGAACTTAAGGGAAAAAAATGACTTTAAACCATTGCTTATAATGCCCTTTCCTGCATCTATTGATAGGTCTTACAACCACTGTTAAGAAGAGAGTTCAGGGCCGGGCGCGGTGGCTCAAGCCTGTAATCCCAGCACTTTGGGAGGCCGAGGCGGGTGGATCACGAGGTAGAGAGATCGAGACCATCCTGGTCAACATGGTGAAACCCCGTCTCTACTAAAAATACAAAAAACTAGCTGGGCGTGGTGGCGCGTGCCTGTAATCCCAGTTACTTAGGAGGCTGAGGCAGGAGAATTGCCTGAACCCAGGAGGCGGAGGTTGCGGTGAGCCGAGATCGTGCCATTGCACTCCAGTCTGGGTAACAAGAGCGAAACTCCGTCTCAAAAAAAAAAAAAAGAAGAGAGTTCAGCTGTGAATCCAAGAAAAAAAGAAGAGAGAACTATGCTGGGGGCATGGTGGCTCACCCCTGTAATCCCAAAATTTTGGGAAGCCAAGGCAGGCAAATCACAAGGTCAGGAATTCGAGACCAGCCTGGGTAACAGAGTGAAACCCCCATATCTACTAAAAATACAAAAATAATTAGCCAGGCATGGTGGTAGGCACCTATAATCCCAGTTACTTGGGAGGCTGAGGCAGGAGAATTGCTTGAACCCAGAAGGCAGAGGATGCAGTGAGCCAAGACTGTACCACTACACTCCAGCCCAGGCAACAGTGCGAGACTCTTGCCTCAAAAAAAAAAAAAAAAAAAAAAAGAAAGAAAAAGAAAGAAAAGAGAAGAAAAAGAGAGAACTTAGTGGCAGGGCATGGTGGCTCACACCTGTAACCCAGCACTTTGGGAGATCGAGGCGGGTGGATCACCTGTGTTCAGGAATTTGAGACCAGCCTGGCAAACATGGTGAAACCCCATCTCTACTAAAAATACAAAAATTAGCCAGGTATGGTGGCACATGCTTGTAATCCCAGCTACTTGGGAGGTAAGGCATGAGAACCACTTGAACTCAGGAGGCGGAGGTTGCAGTGAGCAGAGACTGCACCACTGCACTCCAGCCTGGGCGACACAGCAAGACTCCATCTCAGAAAAAAAAAAAGAGAGAGAGAATTTGGCACTTGGCAGGGTTTGTGAAATGGGAGGGAACTACGGGGCCAGTCAAGACACAGAACTCTCTGGGAGGCAACTTTATGCACCGACTCATCTGTTTCCATAATCTCTATTGTGCAGGAGACTTTCAAAGGATGGGAGGCAGTAAAGTAAAAGGCAAACAGCTGCTTTCCTAATGTCTTCTCTACTGAAAGCCAGGTTGGTTCTGAACTAAGGGACTGAGGTGGCTCAAAATTCTACACTGGCCCTGAGAGGAGGGTAATCCAACCAAAATAGAATTGAGCTTCATAAGGATAGAAGTGGATTTTTTTTCCCTTTTTCTTGTATTTTTAACCAGAATACAGTAACCAGAGGTAGAATTAGAACCCTATCCCTGGCAGCCCAAATTCAGCTTTGGGCTGTGAAAGCCCTGTAAGCACACCTGGCTTCAGTTTCCTCATCTGTAAATGAGGGGATTGAACTGAATGAGTTCTAAGGGCCCTACAGCAATTCCCATAGGACTCCTCTATTTTGATTGAAGGCCCCTCTCACCTGTAGTAGAAATGCACGGGGCTGAGGTGGCTGACAGTCGGCATGTAAGAATAGTAGAAGGAGCCATAGAGAAAGACAGACACCCAGAGCAAAAGGAGGATGGTGCAGAAGATCACTCCAAACTGCAGAAGCAGCCTGCGGGCACGGCCTGCCAAGACTTCGCCCACCTCCTGGGCCCACAGTAAGGCAGGTACTGGAGGGTCGTTGACCATGGCCGGGAGAGCAGGGTGTCTGGCCCCAGGGTCAGGCCTTGCGTTCCTAACTGCTCTGCCACCCGGACGACAACCCTGGCCATGGGATGAGACAGCTGGCGGTTCCTGGAAAGAGAGAAGGGAGAAAAGAGTGACTCCTTTACCCAGGGAAGTGGGGACACAAAAGCCTACTGGAGTGGTTTTGAGGAATGAGAGATAGCAGGATAGCAGTCATTGTTTCATATATATGGCCTTTCTCCAAATGATTGTGCTGCTCAGCCAATTATCCCTTCCCTTTCCTCCGCTGTGTTCCCTTCGCCCCCAGTGCTAGCGCTCCTCAGTGAAACTCCTTCTCCAACCACCTGACTCTGGGACAAACCACCTTGATACTCATTCACAGCTATATAACAAAGAACGAGCACCTTACAATTCTTACAAAGCGCTTTACGCACACGGTGATACTGAATCCACACTGCTAGGCAGCTGCACGAGAATGTGCGACTTGCCTAAGGTCGCACGGCCAGACCCGAAGCCAGTAGGCTGAGAGTCGCCACAATTGCTTTCCGAGTTTCTCCTCTCCGCCTCGAGCTGAGCTCGCTCCCACATAAGGCTGCGCCCCAAGCCAGACGGAGCGCCCAGCAGCCAACCGCCGCTCCCCGCCAGCCCCCTCCGTCTCCGGGGTGGGCAGGGCGCCCAGAGCCCCTATCTAATCGTGCAACCATGGAAACCAGCCCGCCGGCTGCCACAGGGCGGCCGACTCACCAGCCTCGCGCGCTGCCAGGGCAACCGAGACGGGACTTCCGGCTCCTGGGGAAGTCCCGCCCCTCTCCGCCCGCCGCTCTTGTAGCCCTTGGAGGTGGGGCTTCGGCCCAGGGCGGGGCCCAGCGCGGTAGGGCGGAGCCTTCCCGGGCTGCGCGGCTCATGCCTCCCGGTGCTCGCCACTGGCCCTCTCTGCGACAGGTTTCCCTCCGGTTACCGTGACCAAAGGGGAAAGACGCCTGCTTCCCTGCAGACCCCAAAATATGCCCCAGGGCATGCGCTGACTGCACCATCCGCTCGGCCCTCCCTCGAAATCGCAATCACGGTCCTCCGTGCACACCTTCACCACCGGCCATTTCACCCCTGAAGAGGGCAAGTGAGGCGGGCATCCAGCTGGCGCTGTTTATTGCCCACAGCCCCTAGGACCTGTAGACATCTAAGGTGGGGGCATTCGCCTAGAGCATGTTGCAGTCTGCGGCAACCTGGGTCTCTTGCGTTGCGCAGGCCGATTAGTCCCCTGTTCCCAGTGTGGTAGCATTTCAGCTCTGCGTTTTGTGGACTTCCTCTGACCCTAACTGGACGCACTCTCCCTCAGAGTCATCCCCCGCCCCCGGCACATTATCTAGACTAGCTCTTGGCAGGTGGTATCTTCTATTTTGTAGACGTCTAATCACCCCAGGTAAAGCCCTTCAGATGGCAAGGCCAGTGTTCTGTACATCTTTGCACACTGCTGCAGGCGTGGGAAACGATCTATTCAAAATGAATGAAATTCTTCAAACCAATCCCTCCACTCCACACCAGCCCATCTATTTCCAGTATATTTCTGCTGACTGTCCTCACAAGGCCCCCTACCTCCTCTTTGTCCGGTCCCTTGATCTGGTCTCCGCACGCCTCTTTTTCCCCAGCTTCCTCCCTTTGGTCTACCTTTTCTGTAGACATCTTCCTGACGATGAGCCTCTGCTGCCTCTGGATCTTCCACTGAGTCACTTGTGGCTACAACAAAGTGGCGATCCAGACGCCGATACCTGTGGCGCATCACATTTTCCTGGGTATGGAAAATGGAGGGTCCCTGGGAGAGAAACGAAGATTCAGGTGCTAAGTGCTGTGTCAGGGTAGAGGAGGGAGGAAGAGAAGAGGGGGGCGACTGCCCAGCTGATGTCAGATTTTCAAATGAGCAGGGTCCCCCGCAGCCAGTACAGACTCCACTGCAGGGGCTGTCATAGGCCCAGACCACCCCATTTGAGAGGGGTAGTCAGCCTTGGCCTCAGCTCTATTGGGGAGGGCTCTAGCCCAGACTAAGGATGCCTGCAATGGGGGAGGGGCAAGCAGTGAACCAGCAACAGTGGGGGTGTGCGCAGGGGATGCAGGCAGCTAGGCTCCCCCACTGGCCAGGCAGTTGGTATGCTCCAGCATCTGAGCAGCTCCTTCTAGCATCCTTCATCCTTCAGGTACCAGCCATCCAGGCAGCGCCTGAGCTGCAGAAACTGAGACCAGCAGCCCTCACCCGAACTCTGGCCTTACCCTCCCCAGTGGCCTCCTCTGTAAGTCACTGCTTCTGCATCAGATTCTTTCAGCTGCAACTCCCTACAGGGTGGGGCACCCATCTCAGGCAGGTTTTGGTGCCCTCCACTGACCCTACACCCAGGGCTGCTACTGCCGCTCGTGGCTTCAGGTGAGTAGGGAACGGCCTGTTTTTCTCCTTTTGGGACTCACTGGAGGAGATAGGGGTGATGTACCCTCCTCATCAAGGTGGTTGAGGTCTTCAGAGCTGGAACACACATGGCCTGAAGGGCTGAAAAGCCTTACATCATTTGTGTAAGGTTTAATGATCTATGGTCCAGGCCATGACTTTGGGGAACACCTCATCCCACCCTATTTTTTCCATGAGGAATACAGGGATGAGGCAGTCCACTGGAGGAGGAGGAGGAGAGGAGAAAAGGGAAACAAAATATTGGGGCACGACCGCAGCCTTGTAAAGGTCGGTATGGAGTGAGGTGGAGGAGGGCCTCCAGGTAAGACTGTGCTCTGAGAGGTCCCTCTTTTTTCCAGGATGAAAGGTGAGACTCCAGTGAACAGCACTATGAGTATTGGGCAAGCACGCAAGATGGTGGAACAGCTTAAGATTGAAGCCAGCTTGTGCCGGATAAAGGTGGGTGGGACCCTGGCTGGCTCCCATTCGTTGGCCAGACCGTGCTGTGCTGCAGGTTCCCAAAGCTCAGATGCCTTCTTTCCCTCACTCCCTGGGTCAGGGGAGGAGTCTGGGGCTCTGCAAGGAGAGCTGTCCCAGGCCTCTATGGGGGATGAGGGAAAGACAGTTGTAAGGAGCCCTGAAAAGGGCAAAAGAGAACTCATTTGGGGAGGGAGGCTGCAGTCCCCTACAGAGGTCCTGGCTAACAATACCCATGCGCCCCCCCTCGGCTGTGTCCCAGGTGTCCAAGGCAGCAGCAGACCTGATGACTTACTGTGATGCCCACGCCTGTGAGGATCCCCTCATCACCCCTGTGCCCACTTCAGAGAACCCCTTCCGGGAGAAGAAGTTCTTCTGTGCTCTCCTCTGAGCTGCCCTGTCCCTTCTCACAACTCCTCACTTTTCCCTCTCCTGGGCCCTTCCTTAGGTCTGTAATTGTCGTGAGCCCCTGAGGCTCCCTGCATCCCATCCTTAACCCTTGCCTGACCATGTGAGGTTATCTGAAGCACAAGCCCGCCCTCACCTATCTGTTGACCCCATTTCCTCCGCCTTGTGACTGACCCCAAGAACCCCAGAGACATGAGGCACCCTTTGCTCCACCCACAGCAGGGCCCCGTCAGACTCTTCCAGCAACCTGCTCACTTCCCTTGGTGACCCGCTCAGACAGTGGAGAGAGGGATTGGCCAGGTGCTTGCTCTCTGTCTCACCTGGAGCTACTGGGAGGGTAAAGCCATTTGAAGAATAAAGTCATCCAGAACCTCAGAGGACAGCTCCTGTGTTAGCATTCTTGGGGGGAGAGGATCATCAAGTAATAGATCTGCCATAACCCAGGGAAAAGGGCCAATCAAAGCAGGCTAGACATTGTCAAGGATCGAAGATCGGTGGAGTCAGGGGATGGCGGGTGAGAGAGCGTCCCCAGTGGAGAAATTAAGTACAACAGACACTCAAGAGGCTGCGGAGAGCAAACACACACACAAACGTGCAATGAAGCCAAGTGAAATGGTAAACAGAACGAAGAGGGTGGATTTAGGGGAGGATTCGGGAGTGCAGTGGCACAGCAGAGGAACTCCTAGGACAGGGCGCGGCTTGGCTTCAGTTACCGCGACCGGGGCCGGTTTTATACCTAAGATGGCTGCGCCCACAGCCGCTCCCCTTCCAAGATGGCCATACCAACATGGCGGCCCCCACCTCACGAAGTTTACCGTACAGGGCTTCTCTTAAAATGGCGGCCCCCAGGCAGCCGGCGTTCTTAATATGGTCCCTTCCGCGCTCTTCTGGTCTCAAAATGGCTGCCCCTGCCCTCACCAAGTCGGGGACCCCTGAAACCCCGAAATCTGGATTTCGATGTCCTCCCGATTGAGCTGAAGGCACACGGGCGGCCATGACGAGGAATAACGGAAAAAGGGGACCCCAGGAAGCACAACGTGGCCGATGCTGGCCGCATCAATCTTGGTGAGGGAATCTAGGTTTCTACATCTTGCCAGGGAGAGGTTCCCTTTGCAACGGAAATATTAGCTACAGGAGATTATCGCCCGGTGCCGTCTGTCTTGGTGCAACGCTCATTTGCTTCCTGGTCTTCCCAGGAGCTGGATAACCCCAAGTTACTGTTTGGGTTTCCTAGTAGAACTGGGGCTTGTTTTTGCTTTCATTTCCCCCTCAGGCTAATACAGCCACATCAGCCAGAAAGCAGTGTCTCCACCCTAATGTGCCTGGCAGGAGTCCAGCATGCTGTCTGGACAGGGACCAAACTTAAGGCTTAACATGTTACAAACATCTCCAGGACTCACACATGGCGGAGGTTTATGAACACCAGAATGCCTCCTAGAATCTTTTCCTTCCAAGTGTGCACAGAGCAGAGATGGGCCCAGGGCCAACAATCCCAGTCAGTATATGTGCTCCTCATGGAGTCAAGATCCCCTAAACTCAGGGACGTATCCTTACCAGGAAAAGCCTAGGCTGGCTCCTGTTCTGTGCCTGGATATACTTTGGGGAGGGAGGCTGCTTTGAAATAGTAGGGACAGCTCATTACCCCCAGCTTCCAGGTACTTTTGTATAGAGAGGCAATCAAAGAAAGGGTGTTTCATCAGCAACTGAACTTAGCCTCCTAAGGATATCTTCATGACTCCAGGAATACCCAATGAACTTGGGACAAGTGTCCCAAGCAGCTTTTTACTGTTGATGGAACTTCAGAGCTCTAAGAAGTCCTGGAGATCTTCTAGTTAATTCCCTTATCCTAGAGATGAAGAAATAGGGAAAGTAACCTTTTGCCCTCCTGGAGTTGGACCTATCCCCATTCTGTTAAGGAGAAGCCTCTGTTCCTTCTTGGTTAAAATTCCAGGATCAATCAGGTCCGTTTTAATCCCTGTATCCTTACAATGGCACATATCAGGAACCCGAAAACCCAATGAATGGACTGTACTGTATATGCTTAAATGGCAAATGGGGCATAGCAGGGACCAAGCACCTTTGCTCACTTGTCCCACTGCATCAGTGTTAGGCAAATTCCAGGAGAGTAAGTTAAATTTTCCAATAACAGCTCAGACATGGTAAAAAAACAAACAAACAAAAACAGAGTGCTTAGTAACTGTAACCTTGATTTTTAAAAATGCCTCCATTTGGCCTGGTGCGGTGGCCCATGCCTGTAATCCCAGCACTTTAGAGGCCGAGGCAGGGATCACTTGAGGTCAGGAGTTTGAGACCAGCCTGGCCAACATGGTGAAACCCGTCTCTACTAATAATAAACAAATTAGCCAGGTGTGGTGGCAGGTGCCTGTAATCCCAGCTACTTGGGAAGCTGCTGCAGGAGAACCACTTGAACCTGGGAGGTGGAGACTGCAGTGAGCCAAGATCAAATCACTGCACTCCAGCCTGGGTAAAAGAACAAGACTCCATCCCCGCCCCCACAAACAAAAGCCTCTGTTCAGTTTTTCTGCACACACTGCAGCCCTAGTTGGGAAAATGGAGCATAGATGGTAGAGACCAGGCATGAGCTATAATTATTTTAAAAATGACTGATTAGCTCTAACATCAACTTTAAATGTCCTAGAGAATAGGTGGCTACCAAAATCAAGGGTGGCCTTCAGGGTACAAGGCTGTAAACCTGGGTTATCTGAAGCTGTGTCACATAGAGAGGGTAGGAATTATAGTATTATCTACATCCATACTACTACCTCTTCAGAACACTGGATGTCATGAGCCTGTGGTATCTCAGCTTTAAGACCCTGACCATTTGTTACAAACTGCCCTTAGGATTAGTTCATTGCTAATGTAATGGTGGCTGGGCACGGTGGCTCATGCCTGTAATCCCAGCACTTTGGGAGGCTGAGGTGGGCGGATCACGAGGTCACGAGTTCAAGATCAGCTTGGCCAATAAGGTGAAACCCTGTCTCTACTAAAAAAAAAAACCAACAACAGCAAAATTAGCCAGGCGTGGTGATGCGCACCTGTAGTCCCAGCTACTCAGGAGGCTGAGGCAGAAGAATTGCTTGAACCCAGGAGGCGGAGGTTGCGGTGAGCCGAGATCCTGCCACTGCACTACGGCCTGGGCAACAGAGCGAGATGTTGTAAATTTAAGTTACCTTCTTATTCTCCAAATTCACTAGAAAATAACCCTCATCAAATCTCTGTTGAATGAGGGCTTTTCCCCTAGCAGTAATTACTCATGAATATGATTATTTGGCTCCACAAATAGAACTTTACATTTAACTTCCAGCATCCAACTGGTTTTTGCATAGGCCAAATACAGAGGTCATGAGTTATAATTTATTTTCTTGCACTTCAATGTCTTGACTCTTGGCCTAAGCAAGCACTAAACAGACTAATAACCACCCACCCACATCAACTGACTGTATGGCTGGCTCCCAAGTGAAGGCACGGCAGAATAGGGAGGGAATGGCAGCCACCATGCAAGAGAGCCTTCCTTGGTTGGAACCCATGCAACCTGAAAAAGAGGCATTAAAAAATGAATAAATAACCCAATGACACCCTCCGCCCCGTCAGTGCAGCCGCAGGAGATAGGGTGAATTCAATCCAAATGGTTATTTATTCTAAAACTGGAAGCTACTTTGCCTACATTTTTGCCAGAATGGTATAATGAGAACAGGGGAGGAAAAAGTTACAGATGTAAACAATGACACAGTTACATTTTTTTAAAATGGTAAAACCCTTTTTTACTGGCCACTTCCAAGAATGCTTTACAGGTTGTGCACACATTTACAGGCTTCATGTGGTGTTTGTTTTTCTCACAAGCTTTTATGTCTACAGCTACAACAGACATCTGATAAAACACTAAACAAGTCTTCTAAGGAAAACAAGATTAGGGATTCCCCTGGTTGCCATAATCCACATTTTCCCCCTTAACACAGTTTTTCTCATAATAAAAAGACAGAAACAAAACCCAGACATCTACTGTCATTGCAAGTGATCTCTTGGACTAAACCAACAAGGATGTGGCAGTTTCACTTTCCACCCACCTAGAAAAACAGCTCTGTAAAAAAGGTGACTTTCTAGTATCAAATATCAACAGTGAGTATCTCCCTCAACCCCTGCTGGAAAATAAACCCAACCTGATTCAATTTAGTCCCCTTGCCCCTGAGGGCCCTAGCATCCCTGTCCATGTCACAGACTACAAGAAAGATGCTATTTGCAGGGCTAAACCTTTGAAAAGGGGTGGCAGCCACTGCCTCAGGAAATTCCATTTTCTAATATAACATAATCTTGCCCTAAGGGAATTTCTTTGGGCTCCAGTTTTTACCTCCTTGCCTTGACATTATAAGCAAAGCTTTCTCAAACTCCCTTAATAATAATAATAATAATAATACAAAGTTAATGTGTTACAGAAAATTTCATGCAATCATTCCACCCACTGCCACACACAAATGCATTTGAGGGCACCTCAAGGAAGGAGATGCCAAGAGAAAGGATATGATTATGAGTAAGCAAACTTATCTCCTACCAGCCCCCTGTTCCTGCCTTGGGGTCAGAGGTAATTGGGCAGAAGGGTGTGTCATAACAAACAGGGACACTAGATGGCCAGAATAAGGGTCTGCACATCCGAACAAGGGTTGTATGGCAGTAACAGTGGGAGGAGGACAGGAAGACCAAATCGGCACAGAATTTTAAACAGAGAACTGCCCAGCTGAGGAAATGGAAGTGAAGCATCTTCTAGTAGCACAACCCAGATCTTCTCTCACTAGAAAGTACTGCTATATGTGGTGTCTGCTGAGTAAGCTCTTGGCTGACACAGTGCTGAACAGGAGGATAAATGAAAACTGAGGCTACACATTGAAAGAGCATTCCATATCCCACCCATATTCTTGAAACCAGCAACCTACAGCTGTCTATCAAGAACTGGGAGGGTATTGGTAAAGTCACAAAACTATCCCAACTGAAGTCTCTTGGCTAGAGGCCTCTCTAGGGACATACAGGGAAAGCACCCCAAAAGGAATCTTGTTTCTAGAAGTCAGGAAGGGGTGCTCCCTTTCATACGCACATTTACACACCTTCACACTCACTCTTCCCAAGGTTCAGCAGCCCCACTGAGCTGCCACCCCCCCACCCCCCCCTTCTATTCACTCTCAACCTGTGTATCAAAAAAACCAGCAGGGCAGGAGCCCTCCACACTGTAGAAAATAGTTGCTAGTTGCTATTCTCAGCACCTGGGCCTGGGAGCCCACACCACAGGATTCACCTATATACATGTCCCGTTGCAGTGAAAAGAATCCTGCCGTGTTTCTGTGTGAGCTGAAACCCTGAGAAACGAAC